ATTTGGAAGTATGGGTGGGGGTACATATCAGCTGACTTATGGCTTGGTTAAAGAAATATGAGCATTTAGTGACCATGGATGCTAGATGTCCAACAATGGACAGGAAAGTTCCACATGATGATTAATCGATTTACCAAATGAACCATTCCATCAAAATGCTAACAGCACCTCCCTTGAAAAACACTGAGCCCCCTCATCTGGGGAAGACAAAAGCAGGAGAGAAAGCCAGGATGAAGAGAGGAGGGTAGTAAGGAAACAAGCAATGCCCCCATCAGAAGCAAGGCCATCGAGCAAGGGCTGCCCAAGGTGCAGTCTCAGCACCCATGCACCCCGGCCCTCATCCGCAGCAATAACACTCACGGGGTGGAAACTCCTTATTCTCATTCCCTCTACCATGCAAAACAATCTTGGGCTCAGTTAGATTTAAACTATATGTTTTAAAAATTGTCTTTATTTCCACAGCTTTTCATCTGTTCTAATTATGATAGTTTTTGAGCAACTAATATTGGTAATAATAGATAATATCAACTGAAAATTATTCCCTGTTGCTCAAGGGCTTAATTACTAAATTTGTGCTATAATATGCCTGTTGGAAAATTTGCTTTGGAGACTAATTCCTTAGGGGATAATTCCTCAGAGGTTACTCTCCTGAATTATTACCCTCTTATGAAACACTTTTTTGAGCCATGCTGGGACTTGGAAGAAGAGGAAGTGAAAATTCTCTTGCCACCTCTCCCAGGCTTTTTGTTAAGCATCAGGCAGTACCAACAGAGGGATGCTGCACAAACAAGCTTCAGCTCCATGGGTCCGGGCATGAAGAGACCAAATGGAAACAGACAGCTCAGCAGCCTTGGTTTAATTTTAGAGGCGCTACACTTGGTTATGTCAGAGAGACAGCCTCATGGCAGTTTCTGCAACAAACAGATGCCGCAGCAAAGGTAAAACGTTCAGCAAAACACACAGACCAAAAGGCTCCCCAGGATGGAGCAGTCCAAAACGCAATTCTGGTTAAAATGAGTCGAGGGCTTGTTACAACAAGAGCCCACTGTCACTGCAAATGTGGGTTTCCACAAAAGAAGGCCCTTCCAGACGACGGCCATGGTGCCCAGGAGGCCTTGCTCTGGTTATGGACACGCTCCATGTCTGTGCTCTCTCCTATGGCATCACCAACCACACGGGCTACAGAGCACTTGAAATGTGACTCTTTCAAATAAAAAAACTGAACATCTAATTGTATTTAATTTAAATTAATTCAAATAAAAAGAAACCCATGTGCCTAGTGGCTCTTGTCTTGGACAATGCAGGAAAAAGCCCAGACCAGGTTTTGGGAAAATGATCTAAGCGGCCGGCACAATAAAAAACTTACGTATCTTCTGACCACCTGGACAAATACTTTTCTCAGTTCCCTCCCCACCACCGACACAATTCATTAAGCTGTCACTACATCAGAAACCAGGAGAGCAGTGCTTCTCAGCTGTCTCCATCAGGGTAACCTGGAGGTCTGGTTAAACACAGATTATTCGACTTACTCCCAAAGCTGCCAATTCAGTAATTCGGTAGGTCTAAACACTTCACACAAGTACCCAGGGGATTCTGATGCTGGTGGTCCAGAGCCAGACACTGAGTAGCACTAGAATGAAAACATTAACATTCAAACACCAGCCTGCCTCTATTAAACTGGGGCTGCTTTTGCTTGTTACCTTTCTGCTACACTAAGGTGCCTCCTTCTTCAATGTACATAGTATCCTTCTCAAATATTCTGACAAGGTTTACTTAAAACCTACAACGCTAGAGGTATGACAGAATGTAAATGAACAAGACAGTCTCAGAAGGCTTCTCCACATATTAAATCCACAGTGGAGCACATTTGTTATAAGTTTCTTGAGTGTGTCTACTAATTAATTACAGGAACTGGATGCTCGGCAAGGCTGAACTCAAATTTGCCAGGACAGTTCACATCTAATCCCTGCACTGGCCCTGTCTGAGAGTCAACCTGAGGCTTTTTATTAAAGAGACATAACACTGTACTTCAGGATTAGGTTGGGGTGATGACCTCTCTCACCATTCCAACATGGAGTAATATAACAGTATCAAAAGAACACGTCATATTAAAACATTTTGTTTTATCATTCACAGGGAATGTGTTGAAAATACGTCTTTTCATATTACCAAAGAAGAGAAGAAACAAGCATAAAAGTCCTAGGATAAAAACAGCTTTCTCCAAACATTGGCTGGCCTTTATCTTATTACCTGCAAAATCTATTCTAGGATCTGTAATCATTCGGGAGGATAGTTTTCTTTGCAGGGTTACTTCTTTCTGTTCTTTGGTCTAATTATACATGAGTCCCTTTAACAGTAAAAGACCACCTTGTCAAAAGTAATTTCTTTGACTGCTCTTCTGAGTAGCCTTCTTTCTCCCATTTTTTTAAAATTAAACTTATTCGGGTGACATTGGTTAATAAAATTACATAGATTTCAGGGGTAAAATTCTATAATATATCATCTGTATACTGTACTATGTGTTCAAGTCAAGTGTCCTTCCATCACCATTTACCCCCCTTTACCCTCCTCCACCTCCTGCAAGCCCCTTCTCCCTCTGGTAACCCCCACACTGTTGTTCATGAGGGGTTCTGTTGTGTTTTGCTTTGTTTACCCTTCACCTTTTTCACCCAGCTCCCCCCTCCCCACTTTTCCAAAAGAAAGCCTTCAAGCAGAATATAGTGTTGCAATAAAATAGAACATGAAGTCTTAGGTAAGATCAGAATCCAGGACTGTTCATCACTTCCCACACCACTAGCCCTCTGCCCCTCTTCAAACGCCACTGCCGTTCAGTTACTGCCGTCGCCAGGATTACGAGCAATCACTGGGTCTGGAAATCTGGGGAGCCAGGTATTGTTTCTTGGCATTTATAGAGCTCCCAAGTCATCACACAGTAATCTATGTATATCACCCTATTAGGCTATTGAGTTATTAATACTGTGTCTGTTCTGCAGGTAGGGAAACTACACCAAAATGAGGCTAGAAGGTTAAAACACAGTCCCAGGGAAACTCAGAGCAAGATTAAATCACTGTGTTCCTCCAGCAGCGGTTCTCAACCAGGGGCAGTTTTTCTACTCAAGGGCACTGAGGAACGTCTGAGGGTATTTGTGATTGTCATGACTGGGGGGAGGTGGCATGTCTGGCATCTAGTAGGCAGAGGCTATGGACACCACTAAGCACGCTACGGTACACAGGACGGCCCCCACAACAAGCTGCCCAGCTCAGAATGTCAGTAGTGCTGAGAATGGGAACCCCTGATTCCCTGGCATCTCTAACATCACTTTTTTGGCCCCCTAATCAATAGTTAATGAATGGCTCTCTCTACAATTTGATCCTTCTGCAGTATTTACACAGAAACATGCCACTTGAATACTATTCTGGCATGCTACACTTTTTAGTCACTTCTAAAATAGAAGACACAATTGATTCTCTGTATCCATGGATTCCACATCCTCAAATTCAATCAACCGTGGATTCAAAATATTTGGGGAAAAATCCTACAAAGTTCCAAAAAATCAAAACTTGGATTTTCCACGTACTGGGTTTTACACTGACTCCACAGGAACAGAGTGCTAGGCATACCTTGCTGGAGCCTGTATGCAAATATAGGTTACGTGCAAATAAGGGACTACCGAGAACAACCCCTACAGACACTGAGAAAATCAGGAAAGAGAGCAAAGTCCAGCTCCTGTCCTTTCAGGAGAAAACCTGGACAAGACCAGGTCCTTTTGTAGGCAGCTTCCAGGCCCAGAGTGATGGTCCGAGTCTGACTGCTCATCTGGATTCTTCGGTTGTCGGCACACTTTGCAGCTGCCTCTTCTCTGTCTCTAAGCAGCAATGTCTCTAAGCAGGTGTGTCACTCCAGAGCAGCAATGATGTATGTTTATGGGAATCTCCAGAGAGCTACAGCCCCTCATTGTCTATTTCATTCTGTAAATTGTACTCATCACTGAGCCACATGAGGCACCAAAGGACACCAGCCTTCCTGGGTACCCTCTGTCTGAGTCTGGGTAATGGGACGTTGTCTGACTAGGGCTCCACAGTATTGAGCTAAGCTGCTTAATCAACCCTCCATCCAGTTTTTCAGCTGAATACTTTTTTTTCTTAACCCCGTCCCTCTTTTCTACCCATCCTTATGTCTGCTTAGATTTATATTAATTATGGTTTTCTCTTTAAGGAGTCTAGTTTTAGTTTATGCATCAGAAGTTGAAGAGCTCAGAAAGGATGGGGTATCCTTTCCATCCCACCTTCCTGGACCTCCATACGGACATTGGGGAGGAATATCAAACAGTAAATTTCTCCTTTTGGTCTCAAAAATCTTCAGCATAAGTGAAAATTCAAAGCCAGCTTTGGCTATAATGTTCCCAATGCCCACAGCCATTGCCCAAGGGACTGCAAACAGAAGAGGAATTAGTGGACATATAACTTCTAGTGACACTGGATAAAATAAAATGGAACGGACAGAACCACAGGCTCTGCTGGTGCCATTATCTACCAAACTTGGAATCATCAACTCTCCGGTGAGCTGTTTCCCTTCCTGGAAAAAAGTCATTGATAAAGGAAAATCGAGCAGTGATCCTTGAAGGAGGAGGAGGCTGAAGAGGGAAGACGAGCCAGGTGATACGAACATGAAATGGCTACAAGAAAAAGACAGGCCTAGTTCCCTTCTCAGGAAGGGCCCAGCAATGACCTCACATATGCGAATATGTTCCATACAAACTCATCAAAAATTCTCATGTTGAGTATTTCTAGGCACAGCTTCCATCCCATCACTCAGATCATGGTTTTATCTTCACGATTGCTGATTTATCACTGTGTCTATGAATTGAATGAATAAAAGGTTTGAAAACCTTCCACAGACAGGGCACCCCACTGCACTGACTCCAAGAAACTGTTGAGACAAGAGCCTCTGTGACTTAGTAAAACCAGAGAAACAACGGCAGAGAATGCCTTTGACTTACCCTGGAGTAGGGGGTGTGAGAGCCTTCCAACACACTTACATCCTCATGACCCATCAGCTCTGCTGCTTTTCACCACTCACTTCTGCATGCTGGGCTCTGACCGACTGATCACCAACTGCCTAAGATGAAGAACAAATGAATGCATTAGACCAAAAGACCAATAACTTCAAGCCCCAAACCACTGCTCAAGTGAATTTGTTAAAGTAGGCTGAGAACTTAACATGGACCTAAACACATAATGGCTCAAACTCAAAAAAAACTTTATTTCTGGTTCCTGTATACATACTGGACAGGTAAACAGGCGAGTTGATGGAGTGGCCCTCCCTAATCAATGATCTAGGCACCCAGGCTGAAAAAAGTCCTGCCATCTTTAAACCATAATTTCCAAGCTTGCCCCAGGGGACCTCTGCATTTCAGCCTGCTAGGAGTGTAGAACATGGAGGAACTCACATGGGTACTCTCTCTTGCTGTGATTTTTCTCAGAAGTGGATCACAACACTTTCACACATCTATTTATATTCTCTTGGCTAGAACTCAAACACATGACCACAACTAAGCCCACTGGCTGCCAGGCAGCTAGTTAGTCTCTATCATACAAGCTTGAGTGCAGCCAAACTCAAGAAGCAACATTAGGTTTAAAGTACAGAGTTCTGGCCCTGGCTGGTGTGGCTCAGTGGACTGAGCAACAGCCTGGGAACCAAAGGGTTGCCGGTTTGATTCCTGATCAGGGCACATGCCTGGATTGCAGGCCAGGTCCTCACTGGGGGCAACCACACACTGATGTTTCTCTCCCTCTCTTTCTCCTTCCCCTCCCCTCTCTCTATAAATAAGTAAATAAAATGTTAAAGAAGAAAACAAATTAAATACAGAGCTTTGGGTCTAACACTAGCACAGTTAAGTTACTTAACAACTGAGTCTTTGTCTCCTGATTTTCTTCTATGTAAAATACTGTTTCCCTCATTGACCCAGGAGGTCAACATGAGACTCAAAAACGAGACATAGCATTCTTCATATTATACAAGCAGAGCACCTGGGCATCTTGATAGAATGCAGGTTATGACTCAGGAGGTCCTGGGTGGGGCCTGGCATTCTGCATTTCTAACCAGCTCCCAGCTAATATCAATGCTGTTCTTCGACCACACTTTAAGTAGCACAGAGGTGAAGAATTAGAGAATATGTTTGCAAACCACAAAGTGGTTTGCAGCTATGAAGGCTTATTATCCTGGCACTGCCTATGCTTACAAATGTATCCCCAACTAGCCAGCATTTTTAGGACATGGTTGGCCTAGGTTCCAAGGGGAATTTCATGGAGTTGCAGGACTTAGAACTCGGATTTCAGTGGTCACTGCTTTCTCCTCATATATGCTGGACAAAGAAGCAAACTCAGAGACGTCAATGACACCTCCCAAATCTCACAATAACTCAGTGCACTGGGACCAGAGTTCATAAGTTTGACTTTTTTCTGTAACATAAACTCAACTGACAACAACCTTATGAAGAAGAAATGGTTTTTTATTCTTCTTCTAAATCAAGAACAACTACTACTCTAGCCCATACCCAAAAAAGTACCAGAAGGTGACATCCACCAGCATGGGTCACCATGGTACCAACTGTCCGCAAGGCATCATGGGACAGACATCAAGAGATTTTCAAGCAGATAAATCTTCAAAATGTAGTGATCTCCAAAGTGATGCCTCACTTGTCCAAGAGGTGACTTGAACACAAATGAACTCCTGCATACCTTCTGGAAAAAACAAGAGTTTTTATTTTCAGGATATACAAGCTCTGAGTCCCTCATATTTGGGAACAATTTGAAAGAGAGAGATGACCTAGAGTTCAAGCAGAAAGAAAAATAAGACAATGAGACAAAGAGGAGCAGTGGTTTCTGTGGTAAATCCCAGGGATAAAGGGACCTCAAGATTCTTTTATCCCTGGCATGTAAACTATTTTCCATCTCTGAGATCACGGTGAGTCATAAAAGGTAAAATGTTAGGGCCACAGAAGGCAAAGATAGGAGTCAAAAACTCTTAAGTCATAAGGCAAAAAGGCATTGACTTATCTGGAAATCAAATCAAACTGGGAAAGAAGGCTCTAGGTATGCATGTCATCTCTAATAAAGGACTTTTGAAAGTGTTTTGGTAAAATTAGGAGGAAGTACTTACTGAACAAGGAATGATAAATGGAAATCAATACATGCATATCCATTATCAATTTAAGATGGGTAAAATGCTATTAGTGTCTTCATTGAATGAGCGATATGAAACAGTTTAATAAAGGTAAAATGTTCTAAGAACATCTTAACTTTACTTCTGTGCTCCATCCTCAGACCCTCTTCCACCATAATTTCTTCAGCTTCCCAAGAATTCTCCCATCCTGGCAGTTTTCTAGAACCTACTGTAGAACTTTTACCTTGTTTTTGTGCCACGGGGCCCTCTGGAAACCTGCTGAAGCCAACAAACCTCCTCAGAATAGTGTGTGAAAATGTGTATGATTACAAAGGACACCAATTACGTGGAAATGCTCTTCTATCCACACAGCCTCAGAGGGTCCACGGACCCAATTTAAGAACACCTGATCGGGGAATGACTCTTCCAGGATGGCGAAAGTTTTTTCTTACTGGAATTTTTATGCAGAAAGTTGAAAAAACCCAAAGATGCAAAGTAAAGAATCCTGCTCAGAATCCGTCAGTGAAGAAAAGAAGGAGCTGCACAGAGAAGCCTGACCTTGAACTTCTGCCCAAACTCAACACTACTGATGCTGTGGCTTTAAAATCCTACCTTAAAGAATCACTCAGAGTTTTCTTGGCTCCAGCCCTGTACACAGCATAGTCTGTGTACTTAGGGCAGATGAAGAAAGGCAGCACTGGAGGAGGGAAGGCTGAGGTGAGTCTGAGCCTGGTCCTCACTCTCTAACGAGGTCTCTGCCATCAAGTCCGCTATTCTCTTGGTCACATCACTCAGCTCTGAGTTGCAAGTCCCTGTCTATCAAATGAGCAGGTTGGGTTAAGCCATCTCTAGGATGTCTACTAACTCTGAATTATTAGGATTATTCTAAGACAATGCACGATCATTTCTCTGAGAACTGTTAGTGAGATTTCTTTTTGTCCTAGGCTCACAGTATGCGAAAACCTTCCAGATGAGAATTTTTCAGAGACTTCAGGAATGCCGTATGAGAATCACCTAGCCACAGAATTTTAGACTTGGAAGACATTTTGACAGACCTGTGCCACCCCACCAATCCCTCCCAGTGACCAGGTAGGAAAACTGAGGCTCAGAAAGGCGAGAAGATTGATCTGAGGTCACACGATGAGGCAATGTTAGTAGAAACTGTGGTCATTACTACAATCTAGTACCGGCAGCATGTTAGTTTTAGGCACTGGGAGTACAAACCCACTCCTCAGTTCACCTGATGAGAGACAGAAATAAACCTCAGATAAGCTGACCTGTGGGAGGAGAACTACATGGGGAAGCAGGTGACTGGGGTGACGACACCCAGCAGCAATACCCTCTACCTCTGACAGGGTCAAAGGTGAGGCTCTCGTATGCAATGTAACCTCACCAGCAACAGCACCTACCGCCCTCAAATGTCATGGCTACAAAATCCATTTCAAAGAACAACCAGTAACCAAACATAAAGAATAACTTTTCCAAAAGAAGGGAATGGATGAATGAACTCTGGCTAATAAGGTCAATAAAACCAAAGTTCAAGATTTGGATTGTTAACATAATCTTGGAGGGACAACATTAGCTAAGAAAATCTAAAACTTAAAAATTCCTAACATGTATTCTAGGAAGCAACTGATTTGGGGTAACTTTGAGCTACTTTCTCTCGACAGCCAGGAAGTGCAGTAACCACTTAAACCAGCATCGTCTTTACTAATGCCCTCACCACTATCTTCAGAGCATGTAAGTATCAGATACTGCTCAGGCTGAAAAGTCCCACCTGTATATTTCTACAGTCCATGTGTGTAGACGAGTATTACATGCAAAGAATTAGCAACTATGAAAGTGTTGGGAATTTTGATCTAATTGTGATTTCAACCTCATTCAATTAACCGACATGTCTGCCACATGCTTTCAAAACCTGTGCTAAGTGCTTGTCAGTTTACCCGCTGCCTTATCCCCTGGGACACACACATACAACCAACCAAGTAACCACACCCATCCCTCAATTCCCCACAACGCACATTATTTCTACCTTATATTAACAGTCTGGCTTTCTGAACTTTTTTTGAAAGAACGTTCTCTTTGACTAGGAGCTGACAAGGACTTTCACAATCCCCTAGACCAGAGGCTACACACTGCTGGTTAGCCAGCTATGTTTTTAACTCTCCTCCAGGAATTTCCAGAGGCAGCAGTGCCATCTACTGGTAGGGAGGGTGCAACTTGTTTTCTGGAAGCCGGTGGGTAACGTACACCGAGGATCCGAAAGAACGGCAGCCTGGATTTCTGGCTTTGTGAGCCCTTCTTTTCTAGAGTACATTACAAGCATAACTGATGTTTATAATCTGAGCCATGGAACCTCCACAGAAGACTCGTTCGTGAAAGGCAGGTCTTCTGGAAGCCATCGAAAGCCCCGCCAGGCTAGCCAATAAATGAGGCAGCACTGAATGGAAATGCCTCCTCAAGGCTCCAAAGGCAAGCGGCAGAGCCTCACTGAATCAACACTTCCCGGCTCTCCTTTCCCCCCAGTGCTTCTGTATCAGGTGATCTCACCCACGCCCCACCTGTAGCAGTGTCTTCAGCTTATTTTACAGCATGTGACCCAGAGAAGGAGCTCAGGCTCTGCCCAACGTGAAGGCTCTTACTGTCACACAATGTGACACAGATCCTGCTCAGAGGACACCCCTGCTTAAGCATGCGGGTCGGGCTCTAATCTCTTTCACTCTCCCTCCTCCCCACTCCTGACCCAGGGGACAGAAACGAGCGACAGGAAATGATTCTGTCGTTGCTTTGAAAGCAACCCGATTGGGCTTTTATTGAATCAGAAAATAAATCCTTGTCCTGGAGGTCACTGAGGTACACTGCTTCCTCCAAAATGAACTAAGCCTGACAATCTTCCCATTTTCCCTTGTGTGACCTAATAAGTGTTTCTCAACCTTTTCGAAACCCTTGCCCCGCTTCCAGGGCTAAACCTAAGCACCGAATGTCCTCTGTGTACTTCATATTAACAAAAGTGACACCTGAAAAATACATGAAAGAATACCTTTCAAACTATATCACCTACTCCACATTCAGAATTCCTTCCTCTCCCCAATCACATACCAGCTACAAAACAGATCACTGACAAATTTTTAAATTATTCCCACTAAGTTGCTTTATGTCCCAATCTATCAGGTGACTATACTTCCCTTCACCAGGGTCACTTGTTATATTCCCAACAAGCTTTGCAGCAACTCCTCCTACTTTTATTCATCTCAGAAAACCACCAGTAGTTGATTTGTCGCAGCTGATAAATGTTAGTTCTGATTCCCTCTAACGAATTTAAGTGTTTCCTCTTCGGTTTAACTTGCTGAGTAAATTAATTTCCCAGCATTCATAGACATTTCACAGGCACGAGGTGTGTCTTAGATGTATGGAAAAAATCACATTGTTCCCTTAAAAAACAAAACTTTGTACGGGGGAAGATACGTGTTATAAAAGGGCTTTCAAGCAATATCAAGATTTCTCAGAGAAATCAGGTGAAAAAGATTCTTCCATCTCATTCCAGAGTAAGTTCTGAGTGGATTACAGTGAAACTCCAACACCCAGTAAATCTTCCTAATGACAGTTAGTTGAACCCTTTCTTACTGAGTAGACGACTAGATACATCAGATAAATTGGCTAACTAGTCAGTAGTGGAAAACGGAATGAACTTTCTGTGTTTCATGACCAGGTGCACAGCGTGCCCTCGTAGTGCAGGCCTGGGGAGAAAGGAGAGAGCCAGGCAGGGGATGCCCTGCACACACCCTCCCTTTTTAAAGTATGACTTAAAAAAGACATCCCCACCCCCCAACACACACACACACACACACACACACACACACACACGCACACACAGCTTTTGGCATCCAAACAGTCTTTTTTAAACATGCACTTCTCAAAGAATGAAGGAGGTCTGAATAGGTGTAATTTAGACCCTGGCTTCCCTTCTCCTTTCAGCCCATCAACACGCTGAAAGTAATTACTCCCCAGAAAAACCTCAGTTTACAGAGATTACCACCCCCTACCCCCCGCCCCCGCCCTAGCCCCCTGTCTTCTTGAAGAAGAACCTCCAGCGATGGTCTGGTCTGCAGTTCACTGCAGGCATTTCCCTCCACACAATTTACCAGTCATCAGTTTCACTGCATCTGTAATTCCTTTTTGTAGCCTCTCATTTAGACCTGCTCTACCAAGACCCAACTGCTTAAAAAAAAAAAAAATCCGCCTCTCAACGAAGCCCTGGCTTCCCTGAGCAGGCTTCAAGCGTTCGATTTCGGGGCAACTCCGGGCTGAGGGCTCGCGGGCAGGTGCTGAGGAGCCTTTCGCGGGGCGGCACCTGCTCTCGGAACCGCGGTCCTGCCCCAGCTCGCGGGCGCAGCTGCGCTAGAATTTGGCTGCGCCGGCCGCCGCCGGATTAGTTGGGTCCCGCGGCTCGGCCAAAGTGACACTACGTTTTTTTCGCTCTCACGTGTGACAGGTCCTGCTGCATTAATGCCATCTTCTCCCGGCCCCGTGACGCCCCCGCCGCACCGGCCTCACTCACCCGCTACCTGGGGAGGGGGCCGATGCCAGCGGGAAACAAAGGCGGAGGGGAAACTGCTACGGGGGCAACTCCCCTCGAGTGGACCCCTCACCGCGGTGAGACGGGTGGGGAGGCGCATTACAAGGTAGAAAAGGGGAAACCGAGGCACGGAGGGGGCGGCTGAGCCCGGGTCCGCATCCCGCCCGAAGCGAGCTGCCCAGGCGAGTGGACCCCAGATTGCCCCCAGTCAGCCCGGCCCTACCCGCCCCCCTCGCCAACACCCGGGCGCGGAGAGGCTGGGGGCAGCCCAGCGGCTGCGCTTACCTCGGGAGAAGCGCTCCAGCTCCCTCCGACGGCTCCGGAGAAAGCCCCGCCGCTCGCGCACGCGCACGCGCACTCGCGTTCTCGCGCCTTCACTCCCCCGCGCGCGCCCCTCAGACCAAGCCCTGTCCGTCATCGTCCGCAAGAGCCAATCAGGTAACGCGGGAGGCCCAGCGCCGGTCACGTGGTAGGTAAGCCAATCACCAAATCGCCCTCGGCAGCACCCTCTCCGACGTCCCTGGGGGTTCAGTTGCTACCCAGCTGAGCGGGTGCGAGGTGTGCACAGAGGCCTGGGCCTCTCTTTTCCTGGGGCTGACTGGGGCTCCACTGATCAATTGCTAGATCAATGGATATCTCAGATGCTAAATAGGCATTACCTGGGTGTCTTGTTAAAAGGAGAATTCTGATCCAGTAAATCTGGGTTAGGGACCCAGATTATGCTTTTCTAACAGCTTCAGGTGGCGATGATGATGCTCCTGATCTGACGTCTACCCTTGAAGCAGCAAGATTTTAAGGCATCTGCCAGAAAATGATGGTCGGAGCCCCTGCTTCCCGTTATCTAAAAGTTTCAAGAAGCCCTGGTTAGTATAGCTCAGTACATTGAGCGCGGGCCGCGAATCAAAGGGTCGCCTGTTGTATTCCCAGTCAGGGCACATGCCTGGGTTGCGAGGCCAGGTCCCCAGTGGGGGCCACGTGAGAGGCAGCCACACACTGATGTTTCTCTCCCTCTCTTTCTCCTTCCCTTCACCCCTCTCTAAAAATAAATAAATAAATAAAATCTTTAAAAAAACAATAAAAGTTTCAAGCCCTTTCCTTTTCCTACTTTCACTGACAGAATGCATTCCAGTGATTGACTAAACATGGGGTGCCCTGGCTACGGGTCATAGTTTGGGCACTGGCTGAGAGAAGGTGTGCTTAATTTGCACATTACCCACCCTTCGTCTCTGGGGCAGAAACCTGTGCCAATGAGGTGGTTGGAGTATGGAAACCAGAAGTGGGGACTACGTATTTCTTCTACAGAACATTAGGTCACCCTAAAGCATGGGGCACATGCATCTGAGTGCCACTGTGCTCTACTCTTGGCCAGAGAGAGGCAAGATAAGTAGTTCCTGGAAACTTACAATCTGTTGTCAGACTACACAGGCAAACTCAGGACAAGGCATATAGAAAACACTAAAAAAGCTAATTGTCTCAGCATTTTGTACAAGATGCTGAGACTTTATTCAGGCATAAGCCAGAGAAGTTGTAAAATTACCTATTTTAGGGGTCTCAACAATTGTCCAGCTATCCCGTTAGTATTTCCAGAGGCTGGAAGTGAGGAAGCCCAGTGTCTCTCCCATCTCTCAAACTTGACCTAAACTGAGTATTTTCAGACTGGCCAGCCAGAAACTGTGTTGTTCAGCATAGTCAAGCTCTCGTTACCCCCAATAGTGTACCCAAGTGATTCAAAGGTCTAAGTGCCAAATCCCCCAAAACCTTCTCCCCTCAGCTCTTCAGACCAGGTGACTGACACGGCTTCTAACAGTTGGCTCTTACTGCATGCAAATGTGATCACACTGCCACTTAAAGAAAACTTCACCCTTTCAGTGTGTCTTGAGCCTCTCCGTCTTACTAGCTCCAGAAGTGAAGCCAACCCAGCAATTGTAGACATTGTTCATCACATTTCTGTCAGAGGTGGCACAAAATTCAGAGTTTTGGGGAACACATTGAATGGGGCCCCACAATGGTGCTGGCTATATAACAAGAGTAAAGAAATGTTTAATCAGGAAAACTATGGCCCTGGCCAGGTAGCTTAGTTAGTTGGAACATGGTCCCATTCACCAAAAGGTTGCAAGTTTGATTCCCAGTCATGGCACATACATAGGTTATGGTTCGATTGCCCATTGGGGCACAGGTTGATCGATATTCAACTCTTAAATCAATGTTTCCCTCTCTCTCTCCTTCCTCTCTCTCTCAAATCAATAAACATATCCTCAGGTGAGAATTAAAAAAAGAAAAAGAAAAATATGTTTGATGGATGAAGACTTGACTCAGGGTGGTGAACACACAATAGTCTACAGATGACATGTTGTAGAATTGTGCACCTGAAACCCATATAATTTTGTTAACCATTGTCACCCCAATCAATTCAATAAAATGGGGAAAATACTTGTAAGTCTCAAAGAAAGTTGCTTTTGCTGTCATTAAACCAGTGGTTCTCCAGCCAAACTGCACAGGAAAACTTTTAAGGAAAGAGATTTGGGGACCCTGTGCCCTGAGATTCCTACTGGTGTGACAAGTGGAGCCTGGGCAGATAGGTTTAAAAGGCTGCGCAGGTGATGTGGACAGCTACGCTGGACAACACCTGCACAAGCTGCCAGGTCGATGGACACATTCTTCAACAAGAGAAAGCCAACTCTGTGACCCAAATCACTAATCACATAAAGACTCTGAAAACAGAGGAAAGTGCCCATGTAATTTGTGAGAATGGATTTTTTTAAAGGCCAAAAATAATGCATAGGTAATAAATACTTCAAAGACTATTCAGTGGAACAAATTGAAAAATTAAAAAGCCAGGTCCCAGTCATGGACTGGGTTTAATTCCAGTTGATTGAGTAAATACTGCAAAAAGAACCTGTTACCTTTTGTTAACCATACCAAACTGATCGATCTCTGGTTATGTTGTCACTTGCTTTACGCCCTTGTTAATGAAACGCCAATTTCTATTTGTGCATCATAGAGTTGTTCTCTATTTCCCAAAGTGTGTAACAGAATCACCTGGAGTACTTGTTAAAATGAAAATTCCTAGCTGCCCTGCCTATTCCCCTGGCCCCTACCACCTCACCTAGCCTCTCTTCTGTAAAAATTTCCAAGCCAATACTGGTTAAATTTGAGCTCAAGATGTACCTTGTGATACAGAACATCTAGATACTAAAGGCAAAATCTCAAGTAAAAATAGCTGTGCTATTAGTTTAGTTTGCCATGCTCCCTAAAGAAAGGAGGGGAGTCTATTTTAAAGAATTTAAAGAAAGTCTCAATTCTCTTTCAGGGAGTTTTACCAAATTCCGTTATTTTGCAAAATAAAGTGATCAGTGTCTGGATCTTGGAAAGCTGTTGTCACTCGGAATTTTTCTGTGGAGTGACATTCGCCATAGTGGGTGTGACCTAGTCCTTCACTGAATTAGTGAGGCCCCCTCAGAACACTCTGCCAACTAAAGCTCAAGAGTGACTTCATTTACCACATCAGAAACATGGAAGCCCAATGTGTGAGCCCCGAAACTAGCTTTCCTCCTGCTCTGACACTTTTTAAAAATATATCTCACAGCATTTAAATGGGGGAGAAATTTTTTCTCACCTTGTAAACTTGTAGTTTTATCTCTGGGTAAAATAAGGACAGTGTGCAGTGATATTTAACTAGCATGAATAATTTACATTTTTAACTAGAAAAAAAAGCATTTCCATTCCTCTTTGCAAGTGTCATTGTTACAAAAAGAGGCAACAGGAAACAAAGAGACTTATTTGAGGAATTTGCAAAAGAACATCCAGGCTGGCATTCATGTTTTGTTTCTCAGCCGGCTTGCCTTACATACGTAACCTGGCTATCCTGTCTCAGGAGGCGGGTATGTTAGTATGCGATAAACATTACGAGGTAGCTTAAGTAGTCCCTCTCCCTGCCCCTCTGGCCCCGGTACCTCCTAGAAATTCCTTAACAAGATTAGGTATATTTGAAAAGAAAAGAGAGATAAGACATAAACTCTGAGTCTCCAGAAATTCACCCATTGCTCGATTACAATCAGAACCCCCGTAGACTGCTTTATAATTGCTAATTATGTTTTTATCCTTCTACCAGTAATAGCTTCTCTAAAGTTAATTAATTTCATTCATGAAGACCCACAGATGACCCAAGATTCTAGTCATCTTTTGTTATATAAATACAGCCAGAATAAACATTTTAAATGCATGTGTCTGTGTTTTAATAACTGGTACCTTCTTTTCTACTTACTGTAACTCTGTACCAAGTTAGCCTAACACATTGGACATTTTTAGATATGCTTTTATGCCTTATATTCTTTATATTGCCTGTAAAGAACATAAACATTCTTTTTATTTTATGATATATCAGGCTTTACACGTATATATAACAATATTAATGCTCCTCTATACCTCCGTGACTTAAGAAGTAAAACATTACTAATACAGTCAAAGCCTCCATGTACCCTTCCAACAATATGATCTTTTTAGATGGAGATGTCACACTTAGCAGGCTTAGCCACAAAGCAGAGAATAGTTTATGGAAAGAAACACCATATTGTATGCATATAATAGAAAACATAGATGTAAATGAGCAAAATTCTTACCAAAGAAAATGTTTGGAAGTTCTAAACTTATATAAGAAAAAGAGAACAGAACTGGAAATTCCATGTGGTCCAACTTTGGTGCAGGTAACTTTCAGAAGAAACCACAAATAGTTAGGAGCAGGGATAAGGTGAGGAATGAGGTCTCTTTCCTTCACTAAAACATGACATGAGTCCTGTCTGACAGCTCATTCTGGGTTAACTAAGCCATCACAGTTCAAAACAAAAAGTGCCATATTATAAGCAGGGCACGCACCACTGTGAGAAAGCAGGAAGAAATGTCCCTGGCATGTCTCGCCAACCACCTCCGCCCCTCACCAGCCACTTCTCTGACGTTATCCCCAGCCCTCTGTCCCTTGATAACTCAACTCCAGACACATCGACCTTCACTGTTCCTCAGAAATACCAAGCTCACTCTTGGCTCTGGTGGACACACTCTGCCTCACCTTGCATCTATAGGGCCCTCCCTCCCTCGCTGAATTAAGGTCTGTGCTCAAAGAACTGATTGTCAAAGAGAACTGCCCAGGCCAAATGACCCAAAGCAGCGCTCCCTCCCCTGTCAGTCCTTTCTAGCCCAGACTTTCTTAACCAGAGGTCCATGAGAGGATTAAACCCCACTACAGAAAATGATGCCCATGGCTGTTTTCCCCCCATCTCCCAAGGACGGTACACAGCTGGTATCATTCTAGCTGCACAGAGAGAAGTTGTTAACTCATCGCACATAAAGAGTGTCTTAGGGGCATCAGAGCT